TAGGAGTGGCTTCCAACTTAATAGGAATGGCCTCCAACCTAATAGGATTGGCCTCCAACTTATTAGCGATGGCCTCCAACCTAATAGGAATGGCCTCCAAATCCAAGCAATGATACACGATGAACAAAGCAAAAATGACACACATCCACGACGTCCACCATACATAGTGGACTAATATGGTGGGAAACTGCATGTCAAAACCTCTTGGCTTTTAATTTCTGAAGCTGAATGTTTGGCTTTGTACACTTGGCATTGAAAAGAAAAGAACAAGAGGGAGACAAGAAAGATCCAACAGTAAGATTATCAACCATTATCAACCAGAGAATCCGTATGACACGGCCGGCGCCAGCATTTTAGACCCTGCACAATCTGACTGAGGTGTGTAGTAAAGCATGGAACGGGGGCAACACACAAGATGAAGGCATGCCTAAAGATTCTAAGGTGTACCCAATCAATGGCCTCCAACCGACTCAGAAGTGGAAGGTGGTGAAGAAATAGGTTCCATGCCAGCATACTTACAGGTCCTTCCAGGTCCTCTTCCACCTCTTCGTTAGCAGAGAGGAGTCGAGCTAGTAGTAAGGCACGTTCCTAGTAACAAGGTGCTTTGTTACTACTAGTAAGGCACTTGTTACTAGAAGCGATGCACTTGTTCCTAGTAGTTTCTTGTTACTAGTAATGGCCTCCCCAATAGTTTCTTGATACTAGTCCTGCCAACTTCTTCTCCAAAATTGCATGACGACCATTCTCTGCCTTTCTGTATTTCCTTCCTAATGGATCCTGCTCTGGCCGGCCTCCACTTTGCGCTTAAGCTCAACGCGATGAAGCCCACTCTTTTACTTTTTACATTGTTTCGGAAGACAACAAAACTAAAACCAAATAAGCATTATCTGATTATCTGAGTGTGCGGCATTTGATATGCCGTTCAACAACGCAGCCTTTAATCCTTGCAACATCCCAACAAACGAGTTTTTGAGGACCAGCTTGATGCGAATGTGGTGAAATACAGTTTCCTCTACAGTCTCTTGGTCTCGATTCGATCTCTGTCTTAACTCCCCAGATCTCACCATCCGTCGCCCACACCCGTCCATAGTGGCTTTCGGCTTTCAACTGCAAGGCCTCGAAATCGAACGAAATTTCCGTGTGCTTTTGGGGTTCCAGTTTTGTCAAAAAACAACGGTCTTTTGTGTTTTGAAACACATTTTTCTAAAGTGGTTCAGATATGTTTCGAAAACGCCTTCAGGGAGGAAACGTGCTGAACTATGAAGCGTCGTTGTTGGCTCCCTCCAGATCCCATCTCCTCAATGTGCATGTTGCGGAGATTGTCAAATTTTGCCTGTGATGGAGCACGAGGCAAACGAGGCAAAACTGCAAGATAAGTTTACAGGGGCGATACAGCACTCTCCAAGCGCAGTGCCGGGAGTGCACTCACCCAGCTGTGCAACCGAATTCCTTCCGTTTTGCTCCCCTAGTCAGGTTCACATTGGGTGCAGGCCTTAGATTTTTTCCCCCTTGCCTTCCTTCCTCTTTTGCTCGGTTTTGCACCAAATTCATACCCAGCCGTCCTCCTTTATGCAATTACAACGCTCCCGGGTCTAGTCTATCAACAGAGTTAATCAACGCATTACCAACTAGGCTGCTGGGTTATTACCAGCCTTCCCCCCGTTCCTTCGTGTTCCTTTATATATATATGTGTTCTCATGTGTGTGTGTGCTCTCATGTGTGTTCTTACGTGTGCGCTCTGCATGTGCGCGCTCTCAGCACTGAGCTCTCGTATGTGTGATCCCATGTGCGTGCTCGTGTGCTGTCATATATCGGTTGCGCTCGTTCTCCGAACACGGAAATTTGGGGCCTCTTGCCGGGAAAATTGTCGTTCCTTTCCTTCGTCACTTCTCATCCTATCTCTTCCCCTCTCTTCTCCTCTCTTCGTCTCCCTTCTTGTCTCGTCTTCTTTCTTCCCCACTCTTCTTCTCTCTTCTTCTCAGTTCTTCTCTCTTACACGTCTTCTGTTCTTCTCTCTTCTTCTTTTCCTCTCCCTTCTAGTTTTTCCCCAGATAGCTGCAGGCTACAGGGGCTCTAACTTCTCAATGGTGTGGCTCTGGATCGGGGTTTTGGTTTTGGAGGCGCTGCTGCCGCGCTGATGCTGGCGCAGGTGCAGGTGCTGGCTGTGGATCGGCGTTTTGGTTTTGCAGGCGCTTGCCGTGCTGGCGCAGGCGCTGGCGCTTTCGTTTTGCGGGCGCTGTTGCCGTGCTGGCGCTGGCTTTGGATCGGCGTTTCGTGTTGCGGGCGTTGCTTCCACGCTGGCGCTGGCGCTGGATCGGCGTTTTGTTTTGCTGGCGTTGGCGCCGCGCTGGCGCTGGTCCCGGGATGACATCACGTAACGTGGGGGGTGACATCATGTCAAACGTTATTTTGGACGACGTCATGTCATGCCAGGGATGACAGCGCGCAATGCAAGGGGTGACATCATGTCATGCCCAGAATGACATTATGTCAGACGACATCATGTCATGCCAGGGGTGACATCATGCCCTGCAAGGAGTGACACCATGTCATGCCCAGAATGACATCAGGTCATGTCATTCCCAGGGATGACATGAGTCATGCCAGGATGACAAACCTATACACCTGCTATCTGGGGTCTATGTCAGCATAATTTCTCTCATCTTCTCTCTTCTCCATTTTCTCTTGTCTCCTCTCTTCTCTTCTCTTCTCTTCTCTTCTCGTCTCGTCTCGTCTCGTCTCGTCTCGTCTCGTCTCTTCTCTTCTCTTCTCTTCTCTTCTCTTCTCTTCTCTTCTCTTC